AATTAAAAAGATCTGGATCACTTTGTTCATTTCCTTCATAAACCTTCATAAGTATAAAAATCTTCCAATAATATTCGTTGCATTTCACCTGCACGTTTTCTATTATATATTTGCATAGAAATTAATGTGCATTCACCCAGAGATTGCCATACATTGTAAGAAAATTCTTTCTTTAAAAGATTATATGCTTCACGTCTCTTATTGTTTACATAATCATAAAGCTTCCTTATATCGTTTATACTTGGAGCTATTTCCACTTTTTGTCGTGTAATATGTGCTCTTGTTTCCATTACTGTTTTATTAACTGAATGACTATAATCTTCTTTACGAAGTGAAAGGAAATCTTCAACTAAAGCTTTTTTAATGGGATCATGATTTTTAATACATTGTGATTTCCACAATTCTCCAACTTCTTTTAATAATGTACCTAATTGAAACGCTGTAGAAGCTGCACCGAACTTTTGAGTTTCTGGATTGTATCGAGCTACTTCATATACTACTTTAATACAATCTTCGTAATATTGTGGCTCATATAATGAGGCAAAATCTGTAATTTTGTTATTTATTTCTTTTAAAGCTTTTAAAAATCGTCCAACTGTTCGTAATCGATTTCGCACCATGTCGTGCTGGTGCTGTGGCTTATACTTCATACAAAGTTTGTTACCATATCGAATAATTAATTCGTCGTATCTGATAAGACGCGTAATAGAATCTTCTCTTAATACCGGAAAAATGACTTTTTTTAGAGTTTTGGAAGCTACTTCGTTAATTCTTCCAAGAATAGTTCGTCCCAAAACTGTTATTGTTCGATTTTTAGAATATTTAAAATTTAAACATTTTCGAACATGATTTCGTAAAGTATTTTTTGAAAAAAATCCGTAACATTTGACACATACTCCATATTCATTAGCATTTTTAATAAACCACTTCTGGTTCGGTCGTCTAACGACATGTAACTTGCCATTATTCAACATCTTGTTTGTATTAAATTCAAATTCTCCTTTCCGTCGTATTGTTTCTATTATTTTTTTACGTTCAAAAGATCCTTTTGGTAATTCAGCGAATTTCTTGACATCTTTTTCATTACGGTGTACACTTTCTAAATGTCTTGCAATTTTCGATTTTGGTAACTTACAATAAAGACAATAATATTTTTTTGTGCCGCTACAAGAATTATCAATTGTAAGTAGTGCGTCATCACATCCTGACGTGCCCGTTGCATTTGCCGTTGACGACAAATTAAATTTAGTTGATATATTTAAGCTACTGTTAGATGCATTTGGTACATTTTCGTTTATTTCGTCATTGCTCTCATATTCTGTATCCGTAATTGAACCTTCTGATGGTTCGTAAGTTCTGTCTGATTGGTCATCATCATTGATATCTTTGTTATACTGTTTCTCTACGAACTTATGCTCTACTTGTTCTGTTACTGCAATACTGTCTAATTCTATGCTTTCTAAATGTAATGAAAAAAATGTAATTTTATTAAGTATGTAAGTAATATTTTAATAAAACTTATATACAAGTTGTCCACCCTTATAGAAATATCATACTAAGAATCATTGATAATTACTTATTTTCAGTATTAAAAATACTGAATAATAAGTAATTATCAATGATTCTTAGTATGATATTTCTATAAGGCCAGAACTATCATACAATACTTTAATAACATATCCAGAATAACATATTCTGGAAATCAGTTATATAATCGCGAATATTTTAATAGAAAAATATCAAGCGTACAGTATTTTTTAACTATAAGTGATTATAATTTACGAATTTTGAGCGTTCAAATCTATAACTATGCGTGAACGATATATATCAATTTGTAAATGTTACTGATTTTCTGAAATTAGCTCGTATTGATTTTTACATTTCCAGGAAACTTTACTTTTTGTTTTTAAAGTATCACAGCAATCAGAATATAGCAATCAAGATATGGAGCAATAACAAATTTTAAGTCATATTTAAGATACTAACAATGTACTAACAATTTACTAAATGATCATTTTTTAGGTGGAATTTTAAATGATCATTAAATTTTTTATGAAGATAAAGGAATATGAATATTATGCAATTTGAGTATATAATATTAAGATTCGTTGTTAATAATTAATTTGATTACTATGATCTAATTGTTTTAATATATATATTTAATACTTCATACTTTACCTAAAATGGCAAAACCGGTAGAAAATTTATAATAGGTTTCCTAGCATTAATATATTAAAAAATAAAAAAATAAAATCAGCTAAATTGGGAAGTTAATAGATAGAAAATAAAAAGTTATTTGAGAAAAGCAATAACAATTGACAGATCGTTATACCACATGCACGCATAGTTATGAATGTGAGCGAATAAAATCTACACGATATTATTGACAAAATTAAATAATCTACAACTCAGAATTAATTAAGATCTTAACATTTTTATATTAGAACTGTCGACTTTAATTAAGCTCTAAGATGTTATATAAGTATTGTATAATAGTTTAAGGATGCCTGTATGATATATTAAGCAACACTCAGTATGAGATACGATTTTCATTCCGACTTCAGAGTTGACGCCTATTATTCTCTCCTTGCTGTTTTGCGACGCTCGACGTCAGGAACGGCTCTATCATAAATGGAATGAAGTCAGGCCTTCTGTCACATCGAAAATATATGCGGAATTATATAATTGTTAGAAAAACTTATACATATATTATATCATGGTTATATATACAAGTTTTTCGCGTAGAAGTATCAATCCGCATATATATCTAATCTGGCAGAAAATCCAACCATATTGTATTTATAGCTCGGCCGCTCTTAATGCAGTGTCGCGGGTCTTACAAGGAGATGACGCCAATTAGGAAATCGCTTTTCCAACGAGTCATAGTGCGTTCGATAGCTTACATGTAGCTAATAAAAACCCTAAAGGCGTTTGTGCCAATGGGCCTTCGTTTAGGAGAAATTACAAAACAAAGTTAGGGTCACGCAACTATGTCCCATGTAAAGAAGAACATTAGAATCTTTTTCGAGTAAGCGGTGTAGCTGAGCCGACTAAGGCTCCCGTCCATACATTTTTGCGCCGGCGGCGTGCGTTCGAGTCCCGCCAACGACTGCTTCGCTTTTTTTTTTTTTT